CCATAGCCTGGTCTAGCACAGCCCCATAGCCTGGTCTAGCACAGCCCCATAGCCTGGTCTAGCACAGCCCCATAGCCTGGTCTAGCACAGCCCCATAGCCTGGTCTAGCACAGCCCCATAGCCTGGTCTAGCATAGCCCCATAGCCTGGTCTAGCACAGCCCTGCACCCAGGAGAAGAGCATGAACACAGAATCAATGCCAAATCTTATCAAAATGAAGTCCCCTCTCACAGCTCAGAGCCTGAGGCCTGTCACAGGCCTTAGTGACCTCATCTATGAGGTGAGAGCGTCCACTTTTGCCTAAGGGCTGTTATGAACCAGGTCAAGGGCCAAAGCATAAGATAAAGGATCTGGGACACAGGATCCCTGAGGCAAGCTGGCTCCCTGTGATGCCCCTCTTCCTGCGCTCTGATGTCCTCAGAGGACTGCTGCTGTCTGGGCCAAGGAAAGAACTAGAAGGAGTCATAGAAACCCCACCCAGGGCCACCGCGGCTGGTGGGAAGAAAGATGCCTGGCTTACCTCCTGTGCTCAGGTTAGCAGCAGCTTCTGCCATGATCACAGCAACCTCAGGGCACCTTTAGGGTTGGGGTGACCGGCTCCCGTACTGTGGCCAAGTCTGTGACGGAGTTCACAGGAGAAGAATGGCTTCTCAGACCTGCAGGACACCGTCTGTTTCCACCCCGGAAACAAGTACCCATCTGGCTCCATCCACCCAGCTTTCTGAAGAAAGAGAAAATGAAACTTTGGTGTGGCTCTCGAAAGTCATGTCGAAATCAGGGTGGATGAGCAAGTTGAAGCTGAACTGTGTGACATGGGAGAGAGGAGCCTTGGCCTCTGGGGTGGGAACTGCCCACCTAGGCCCTCTGGGAGCCCCGTAAGGATGAGGATGGTGACCCAGGAAAAGGCGCCGACTGTAAGTCGCCTACTTACCCACAGGGCAGGGCTAGTAATACCTACCCACACACTGTCTAGAAAGAGCCCCTCACTTTTATAACTTCTCAGAGAGGTTAGTGATCTTCGAACAGCCCAGACGTCACGGTTCCAATTACAGACGAAGAGATCGAACTAACAGAGACGGCCTCATGCTCACAACTCAACCAACAATATCCCTGCATTTGGGTCCCAGCTGCAGGTGGGGGCTGGGGTGCACAGGGCAGGACAAGAGCAATAAATAGAGACCAGAAGGAGGTATGGGTGTGCCTACAAAATGTTTGCAAAGCAAGCAGCAGGTGGCAAGTCCCCAGCCAGCCTCGCTGAACGGATGGAGCCTGAAAGTCACTGGACAGGGCAGGACCAGGCCACTTCCACACAGCCAATTCCATGGGCCTGCGCCTGGGGAAACTTTAAAATTTCCAAGTATTTTTATGACTTCCAGGGGAAAACCAGAGCCTTCGGAAGCTGCCAAGGAAAACAGCAAACTGTGCTGCCCGTTGCGGGCCCAAAATAAATTGGTCTCCTTTTTAACCGCTCTCAGCTGAGCTCGTTCAGGGACTTTTTTCAGGCTCCCGAGAGGGGCTATTCGGAGACCGGCCACCAGGTGGCGCTACGCACAAACTGGCTCTTGCCTGGGGGTCTCGCTTGGTCCCTGGACAAAGTGACTCTGGGCTTCAGGACTTGCCTGTCCTGCTGGCCTCTTTCGTCAGCATGCTTTATTTCCCTACCCTCCTCTCCTTACGTTAGCTGTCCTAAAAGGAGTCGGAGTCTAATGGTTCTCAAGCTTCCTACGGCTGGTACCCTATAATACAGTTCCTCATGCTGTGGTGACCCCAACCATAAAATTATTTTCATTGTTACTGCATAACTGTAATTCCGCTACTGTTATGAATTATAATATAAATATCTGTGTTTTCTACTGGTCTTAGGCAACCTTGTGAGAGGGTCAGTCTACCCCAAGGAGTCGTAACCCACATGTTGAGAAATGTTGGCCTAGCTGGTTTTTTGTCCAGCCCTAGGAGTCAGTTTTCCACTGGGCCTCATTCTCTCAGCTCTGCCCTTGTTTGGTGATGGACTCTGCGTGCTGACACCCCATCATGTAGCAGGCCCGGCAGGGACTTAGGGTTACCTGTTTCGTCCAGGACTCATATATGCTGACAACGTGTGGATGGCCCCTTCCCATCTCTGAGGTCCCCATCGTGAAGCCCCACCATGCCTCATTTGGTTTCTCTGACACGTTGCTGGGGAACAGCAGCAGTTCCACAGTGGGGTAGGGTGGGGGCCCAGGAAGAGGATGGGCGAGGAGTGGGCTCGCCTCCTTCCAAAGCTGGCTGGAGCGGGGACCTGCTCCTCTGTGGCTGTGGGAAGCTGAGCCCGTTTCCTCAACTAGAAAAACAGATAACGAGAAAGAAAAGGCATTCTAACCCACACCCTGCATGTGCTCGCAAAATTCGCATGGGTAGAGATTATATCTGGTGCCTCTCCACAGCTGGACTGCAGGCTCCAGACTAGGCAAACGCTCTCGCACCGGAAACAGGGGCGGATGAAGCTTAGGTTCTCAAGTACCCGGCCTTCCTGGCTTCCACCAAGTTAGAACCCGACCCTGGGGCTCTGCCGTGAACATCCAGCATTCGCTGCTCTTTTCTCCTTTTCATTTTTGAGATGGGGACCCACTCTGTAGTCAAACCTGGCTTCGAATTCCTGATTCTTCTATGGTCACCTCTCGGGTCTCAAGACTGAATCATAATGCCTACTGGGTGTTCTTCTCCTTTCTCCTCCTCCTTCTTCTTTTGTTTTATCTATCTATCTATCTATTTATCTATTTATCTATCTATCTATCTACCTACCTACATTTGTCTGTCTGTCTGTCTGTCTATCTATCTATCTATCTACCTACACCTATCTATCTATCTACCTACATCTATCTATCTGTCTGTCTGTCTGTCTGTCTGTCTATCTATCTATCGAGACAGGGTTTCTCTGTGCAGCTCTGGCTGTCCTGGAACTTGTTCTGTAGACCAGGCTTGCCTTGAATTCAGAGATCCACCTGCCTCTGTCTCCCAAGAGCTGGGACTAAAGGTGTGTGCAGCTACCGCCTGGCCAAAATTCTTACTTCTAAAGGTCTGGATTATTTTATATGCTTCCTCTTTGTTTAAGAAAACTTTCAAGCTAATTTTCAATACTGGAGTTACCCTTAGCTTCCAAAGCAGTAGACTAGGCAGATGCACCTTTCTTTCTCATGCATGGAACAGGTGGCAGGAACCCCAGATTTGGTGCAATCACCCAGCTTCTTTTCAAACTGTTGCTCCGTCATTTGTAGCCTGTGTGCCTGGGCTTGCCTTGTTTCAGAAGGGTTGCTGGAGTTCTGCCTATCACACATGCATTCCTTCTCACAGGAAGGAGTAAAGGATAGGTATCCTTGGCAGCTTCAGCTGTCAGCTGAATACAGAGTTCTCTGAGGGAGCATCCATTGGGGAATTGCCCAGATCTGATTCCTGATGATTGATGTGGGAGGACCCAGACCGCTGTGGGAGGCGTCATTCCCAGGCTGCCTGTCCTGGGCTGTCTATGAGAAGCTGATTGAGCATGAGCCAGGAAGCAGCACCCTCTCTGGTCTCTGCTCCAGGTTTTCACATCACATCTCTCTGGGATGGACTGGGACTTACACGCTGAAATAAACCTTTCCCTCTCCAGCTGCTTGTTTGTTAGTTTTTAAATATCTATCACAGCAGCAGAGCCAAACAAATGCAGTAGGTAGCCCCTTTTAGAGAACACATCTTGCAGGCCCCACATACTTTCCACTTACATTCTAACCAACAGAACTATGATCCTGACACCCAAGGAATTCTGAGAAAGGTGGTCTGTATTCTGGACCACTCTGTGCCCAGATAAAATTGGGGTCACAGTACTCCAGATCACAATAATATCTATCACAATAGATATCGGTCGGCAGAGACCTGGGTGTCTTTGCCAATTCAAGGCTCTTCCTCAAAGACAGAACAAGGACATGCCCCTTTGTGTCTGCCCTGAGGTCATCCCCTGCCTCACTCAGCAGTGCCCAGCCTCTTTCTCTAGCAGATGCTAAGCTGAGTCCAACGAAGCTGCCTTCGCAGCTCTGTGGACTCAGAGCCTCTGGTGGGGTTCAAGGCCAATGGGGAAGAAAGGAAGGGGCTTCCTCCTCCAGGCTAGAAAGGGCCCTGAGATACAAGGTGACATGCCAAGTTGGTCTCTTTTTTTTCCTGGAGAGCACATTCCTTCCAAATGGCTCCTGTTTTTCTAGAAACTATTAGAACTCTCCGCCCAAAGCTGGGGATAATTACATGTTACTGATCTCAAGTCTTTAGGTTTTGTGATCTCTCTTTTAAAAGAGATATATTTTTACCACATACTGTGTGATATGGCAAACCCATCTCCTTCCTCCCCATAACCAGACTCTGGAAAAGAAGGAAGGCTGTGAGCTAGGTTTGGTTGGAGGTCAGACATGGCTGAGGACAGAGAGCAGACTGCCAGGTGTCTCTGGGCCCTGCCTAGAGCAACGAAAAAAGATCTTTTATGACATGTGGGTTGGGATGACACCCTCTTCAAGTTCCTGGGGGTGCAGCTCCTGCAAGACAGAGCAATCAGTGGGGCCTCAGTGTCCCCCTCTGTCCACTGGAGTCGGGCATGCTTGGGCATCTCCACTTGTTAGCCCTGGGCTCTGAACAAGGCCCTACTCTTTATGGGTCTCGGTTTCCCTTTGACAGTGGGATCCCACAGTTCTTACCCTGGGACTGGTTGCACCAGGAGGTCTCTTCAGGGAGCTAAGGACGTGGTATAGGCCGCTTGCCTTTCTGTCACCGTCCCCAGCTGTCTCTCAGTGGAACAAAGCCCTATTTGTCTGGTCATGTACCAGGTTAGACCGCAAACTGGCTATCTGCCAGTTTAGACACCTGGTTTGTGTCAGCAGTGTGTGACACCTGGGGTTGGAAGGCCAGGCACCCATCCAGCCTTTCAGAGAAGCCATTTCCCAGGGAGTCATACAAGGCTAGAGAAGGCCTCTTCCTCGTGAGCTGGGAATCGGAAAGGGTGGCCTAGCTTGACTGGAGGGATAGCCATCTGCAGGATGTGGGCCAGAGGACAGGGAAGGTGGCCACTGGTCAGCCGTCGTGTCTGAGGAAAGCTTTATTCCTTTCCTCACCGCTGATCAATGTGTTTCAGAATCTCTTTTCCACATTTCCCATACCCAGGCAACTGCCCCGGGCACGATTCAAACCTGACTTTGAATTTTATAGCTGCAACACTGTGTTTTACTTATTTTTATTTTTTGTGTTGTTTTGAGATGAGGTCTCTCTCTCTTCTGGCTTCAGATTTGCAGCAAATCTTCCGCCTCAGCCTTCAGAGCATAGGGATCACAGGGATACACAGCTGGATGTCTCTGAGTACGTGTGTGTGTGTGTGTGTGTGTGTGTGTGTGTGTGTGTGTACAGAATATCAGGTGTCTTCTAGAATTCTCCACTTGATTTTTGAGACATGATCTGTCACGGACCGCAAAGCCCACTAATTTGGTCAGACTAGCTGACCAGCAAGCCCCAGGATCTCCAGATTTTGCCAGTCCCAAACACTGGAGCGCTGGAGCTGCAGGTGTGAGTTGCCACACCTGGCTTTTATGTGGGTTCTGGGGATTTGAACTCAGGTCCTTATGCTTGTATGGCAGGCACTTTACTACTGAGTCATCTCCAGGCCCCAGATAGACTGTTTAAAAAAATATTTTATTTTACAGATTATCTGCTCACAAAAAATTCACTTCGTCAAAGGTGGCCATGGTCTCCTCGCCAAGTACCACTCCTGGGAATGCTTACTGGGTGAGACTATTTCACTATAAATTCTCTTCAACTATAGCAAAGTATCATGAAATTTTCATGACAACTAAATGGAACGGTTTATGAATTTGACATGATGCTCGTGTTTCCAGACGGTTAATTAAACATTTACTGTGTTTTTTTTTTCCTCTCCATAGTTTGAGGCCCAAACTCCTCCCTCTCTTTCTCTATTACCGGTGGGTGCCGTAGGCTTGGGGGCACTCAATCCTAAGTCACTAAGTTGGGCACCTACTAGGTACACAACCAGCACTGGCTGTCCTCGGCTGGACTAGCTCCTGGCTCTGCCTTAGTGTTTGTGGCTCTCTGTGAGTGATCCAGAGGCTGAAGGGGCACCTGGTTATGATAGGGTGGCTGACCTGGGGACATTGGGGCGCCATGAGCA